TCTACAGCAAGACAACAAATGTGCAGAGCGGTGCAGAAATTGAGCTAGGCTGGCATGCGTTAAACAGCTGGATAAGAAATCAGCGATCAAAGATGACATGTCATCCTGAAGAAGCTGAGAACGTTCCGACACCCAAATTACTCGCTACAAAATGTGAGCTATCACCTAGCAGAAGGCGACACAAATCTGTTAAAGGTCCTATAATTCTAGTTATAGGTGCGTTTACAGCCGTCATCAGTATAGTCTGTGCGACGGTGTTCCGAGACAAAAAAGGGGCCATAGAACATCAATACCACTCATTTTCGCTTAACAGCCGATTCGAGGTATGGGCAATGGATCACTAGGGTAGAGGATATTGACCATTGGGAATCTGTAGTTCAACGTCATCGACCAGATATATATATATATATATATATATATATATATATATATGCGTTTGGCCCCAGGTTACTCATATTTTCAAGGAAGAAGTGTTACATCAGAAGTAAGGATACTCTACCACTCCCCCTTGTTTTGCCCCAACAACCCTATACACCCCGACCACTTTTACTGTTCCTCACATACGTCCACTTTTGACTTGCCGTTGTGATTAGTTTATTTGGACACTGAATCTTACGCTCATTAGCTTTCTCATACTTTGTGTGTATTTCGCTCGTTCGTGAGGCAACTTCTGGATCCTAAGTTTTGAACTGACCAATCTTGACTGATCGAATGCCAGTCTTCCCGCATAGCCTGTGAATATGCGCTGATTTGAAACATTCGATTGCTTTGAACACACGGATGTGGTAGCCGGTTTGGCGTGTAACATGGTTTTTACCAGACCGTTCGTGTTCTCACTACAGTTAGTAGTTGGAACCAGTCGCGAAGCTTTGACAGAAAACTACAAACGCTGCGCCGGTTCTGCCTATCTTCTCTGCAGGACCCGTCGTCGCTTCGGTCGTGGTCCTGTGTGGCCTCGCTCATAGCTCAGTAGGCCTGCCTGACTAAGGCACTCGCGACCGCATGTTCTACAGCATCATGCGCTCGATGTCGATTGAGTACAACCCATCGGTGCTTGCAGCTTCCGCACTTGCCGCTTCTTCTCTGCATGCATTAGGTCTTTCTCCCGCACATCGGCAACTGCCTTCGTGATTAGATCGCGCCATGCACGCCGATCAACCGCCTTCGATTCCCATGACCTGCAATGAAGATTAGAACGTGAGGCTAATTTTGATCATGTCCTGATAACGAAGCCTCGGTTTCCCCGAATGCCGCCTCACAGTACTCACCTGACCATATAATAGTTGTTTCGGTATCCGCAACGAATCTATGCGGCTCACATATTCGAGCCACCTCATGTGTCTCAGCGAAAGTATGCAGTCCACTGCATACATCCCACTTCGGCGCAGCACCTATGGGTCGCGCCATCCGATGCGTAGAATTAGTCGCAGACACTGCTGATGGAACCGCTCGAGATATCGCACATCTCGCCGGTACATCGTCCACGTTTCACTTCCGTATAGAACAACGGACAGCACCATGGATTTGTACACCATCAGCCTCGTGCCAACGGTAAGCCGATGGCTATTTCACACTCGGTATTCTAGCTTCCCAAAGGCCCCCCGCTGCCTTCGACACGCGGATACGCAGCTCACTGTGTAGTTGCTGATCATTCGACATCACACTCCTAAGGTAGCAGAAGCGGGAGTTGGTTTCCAATACTTCAGCACCAATGCTAATTTGTGGCAATATTGAAGATCGCACCTCCGGTAAAGGCTGAAAGAGACAGACAGTTTTGCTTGTGTTGATGGTGAGCCCGAATTCGGCCGCTGTCTAAGCCAGAGCACTAGGCATGTGCTGAAACTCATCCGCTTTGTGTGCAAACAACGCACAGTCGTCAGCAAACAGCAACATACGGATAGTTGTCTCACAGACTAGAGTTCTCGCACCGAAACGACGGATGTTCAGCAACCCACCATCAATACGGTGCTCCACACGAACACCGTAAGCACAAGCCGTATCAAAGGTACAAGACATCACTGCATGAAGATAAATATTAAACAAGACAGGAGATAGCTGTAAAGTCATCCGAGGTCTCTCCACTCAGCTGCACCCTCCCTCGCATGCCGTTGTGCAGACATTCAATTATACCTGCAAACTTACTCGGAGAACCAAACTTACCCAACACCAGCCACAATACCTCGCGGTTCACCGTATCAAAAGCCTTGGTGAAATCGACAAAAAGCTAGTACAATGGTTGGTGTCGTTCTCTGCACTTCTCTTGCAGCTGATGAGCCGCAAACACCATAACTATAGTGCTGCGACCCAAACGGAATCCACACTGCTCTTCCGCCACGTTTGGTTCCACAATCTGACTCACGAGGTGGTTGAGCAGCATTCGGGCAATCACCTCGCCCACACAACTCAGCAAGTTGATGCCACAATAACTCGTGCAACATTGCTTGCTCCCTTTACCCTTGTACAGTGGTAGCAAAAGTGCATCCTTCAGCTCAGAAGGAACCTCCTCCTCAATCCATACGCGTTGCACCAAGTGATGCAGAGCAGTCAACAACGCGGGTCCACCGTGTTTCAACACCTCAGGCGGGATCCCGTCGACATCGGCACACTTGCCGTTCCGCAGCTGACCAAGTGCTCTCTGCATCTTATCCAGTGTCGGCGCGTCTGCCAGACGCACCTTCACAGCGTGCTGTTTCAGGTAACTCAAATACGTTAGTCGATCTATGAACGGTTATTCAAGAGACAGTCAGTGTTTACGCCAGATCGGTATTATGTTTGCAGTCTGTGTGTAGGTAGCGCCTGAATTACCATCGATCAGTGTCCTCAGGGGCTCCAACCTCGGTCCACACACCGCCTTCAAGGAGGCAAGGAATTCCTTGTGTTGGCGGCGTTCGGTGTTGCATTCCATCTGCTTCGCCTTCTCCGTCCACCATGCACTTTTAATGCGACGGAGATCTCGGGTCAGTCGCCGTCGAAGTATGCGAAACTGACTACTCTTTCCCAAGTCACTGGGGTCTGAGACATGTACAGCAAATGCCGCATTCCTCCCCGACACCAATGCGCCATTCGCCACATTGTTGTCATCAAACCAATTAGGCCGTTTACAGTTTGCGCGCTTGATGGTCTCCTCGGCAACAGCTCTCACCTGATCGCCCACTGTGGCTATGCAGTCCACATCACCACACAGGCGTGCAGCCATCGCCTTCTCCAGCTCAGTACGTTTCGCCACAGTACCGAGGGAGAGAATGTTAAATTTACGCCGATTCACGGCGGGAGTGCAATACATCGATTTACGAAAATATATGTACAGTTTGGTCCGAAGCAATTTGTGATCAGCGCCACACGCAGTGCTCCACGCAGTACACTTGTCATGCGCACTTCACGCATATCACGCTGACGTACGATGACATAGTCGAGCAGGTGAGCGTGACCACTCCGTGAGTGCGTCCAAGTTGCTATATCACTCGCACTCAGTGCAAACCGAGTGTCCGTGATCGTCAGGCCGTGAGTGGCACACAGTGAGAGCAGCCTGTCACCGTTCGCATTCGCTGAACCAATGCCATGCGCACCGATAACATCTGTCCACGCTGATGCATCACGCCCAACGCGCGCGTTGAAATCACCCAGCAGAAATAGTCGGTCTTTCCTCGGCACAGACCGTATCAAGGAGGATGGCTGAGTGTAGGATTGATCATGCGTGTCATAAAGATAACACATGGTCGGATCGTACTGCTTGTAAAAGTGGCAAACTCACCTCTTCCGAGTCGTAGTCGAACAGTCATAAGTCGAGCGCTGATGCCAGTTGATTCACCCAAGAGCTGGCAATGGAGATGATCGGATATTGCAAATCCGACCCCATGTTCACGTGGTGCTGAGGTGGTGTTGTTCACCCAGTAGAACGTGCAGCCAGCACGCGCTTCAAGCAACCTAATTTTCTCAATGAGCCGGGTCTCACTGAGCGCCGCGAAATCGATGTAGCAGCTTGCCAATTCCATCACGACGAGTGCAGTGGGTCGCTCTGGGCGCTCGCTGGAGTTCCGGTCCAGTAGTGTGCGCACGTTTCAGCACCCGAGGCTGAGTGCTTTGCGGGCAGACATACGATTGCATTGGTGGGCAATCGCACGCGAGGTGGTCGTTGTGCTTCGGAGGTTTGCTTGAGGGACTCCACCCGGGCTTTTGGCTCAATAGCCTGACCCAAAAAAGCAGCGGAGAGCAGATCCAGCTCCGGATTGTGGTTGCAGAGACAGATTATGATCTGCTTTATGGCAATCTTACGCAGCCTTTGTGGTAATGGAACGATTCATATATGTTTTGCGACCGTACAAGGATAAGCACCTGCGACCACGGCCAGACGCAGGTGGGTTTTGGCGGGTTTGCACCAATTCGACCGGGGGCTACCTGGCTTAAGGGCAGGTAATAGCAAACCACTGGACACCCGGAGATGCTCTCCCATCGTCAGAGAAAATGGGTGGCGTTCGTGCTCTAGGCCAATCGAGCTGTGAGCTTATAACCCGTAGACCTGTTGTCTCCCATGGCTAAGTTTAACGGGAAGAGGGCCATCGACCACTTCAATAACCTCGGAAGAGGATGAACTAGGATACTAGTAGGGCACCCACACCTGACAAGAGAACGACTCAGGTCTTTAGCCAAAGTCTTCGAGTAAATGTACACCCGAAAGCCAGCTGGTCTAGCACATGGACAGTTCACTGACTCATGCGGATTGGTGTCCTGGATCTTAGCAGGGGGAAGGGCGTAACCCAATTCCCACCCAGCGGTCGCCACGAGGAGGCGTCCAGGACATGAGCCCATGGCACAACAGTAGTAGCAGTGGGTAGACCATCTGTCAGGATCGAGCCAACATCAGCCTGAGCGCACCATAGGCTCTTCCGCCTATATATATATATATATATATATATATATATATATATATATATATATGCGGTGTGAGAGAGATCCACACCTTAACTTGGTTCTTGGGTCGGGCAGTAATTAAGCAGAAGAAGGATTATCAAGTAAAGTTTAATAAATAGACAGTTCAAGCGATCAAATGGTCATCGAAAATGATTAGTTATTTGGCTGACAAGATCCACCTTCTTTCGACCCAAAGGTGTACTCTTCAAAATCTTCAATGCTTGACGTAAAGTTGGCACTGTTAATGTATGCAACTCATCGCGTTCAACCAAACCACGTATGTGTTCGGTAGTGAGTTCTGGAGTCGACTGACCTGATGCACCAGGCTCGAATTCACGGGGTGGCCACTGAAAGTTAAAAGCAGGAACACAATACGAGATAAGCAATATAGGAATGGCAATCGTTAATGGTGGATGAGCCTGCATTCTGACTGTAACATTGAAAAAGTGGATCATTGCCTTGATAGTATCATTCTGCAATGCAATCATCATCAAAACCTTACCAATCTGATCTACTGTCGAAAGATTTACAGTTTAAAAGATACGGAATGGTGTGCGATGATAAAATGATTCGAGGTGTCCTATGAAACAATAGTATGAACCAAGTGTAGTGAACCAGGGTGTCTACCAGAATGTTCATGCAAAGAGCATGAGAAAGCACAAGGATAGGTCAATAATTCGACAAATAAAGATATGGGTAACTAAGCACATAGTTGATAGTGCCACTGGCAAAACTAACGCTGTGAGCACCGTGTTTCTGAATTCCTCACTACCGTTAACTGAAAAATCTGTAATGTGTATCATCAATTCCAATCCATGGGATCAATAGCCGCAGATGGATATCATAACGTTTTCAAAACTGTCGTGATCCGGTTGTATAAACTAAAAGAGTGTATCCAGTAAATGTTCACCCAAACGTTGTGACTACATCGGCCAAAACAGCTAGTGATATTTAACCGATGCAGTATGTAATACAAATGTCACAGTCGGAGGAGGTATTGATAAACACAGTTATTTTGATCTTTCAATGACACTGCTGCTGTATGAGTAAGTGTAGTGATACATATCTGTGGCAGAAAACGCCTCATCGACTGGTGGTGTATCCGTCTGAGCCCGTGCGGTGCAGTCTCCATTTAACTCGATATCCAGTTGATTCGCAGACCAATGCCTAACCAATCGAGACGAGCACACTCGAAAAAATTTGGTATACAGCCCAACATTTTCACCGTAACATCAGTAGTCGCTGTTTTCAGAAGGGGAATGTAGCCTACATAGGAATCAGCTGGGCCAATGATGAGCCTTAAGTTTCATCTGTCGATAGAATAAGCCAGACCGAATAGCACAGTATCATTCCGCATGCTCCAACCAATAGAAGACGGTCACGCTAGCATAATGAAGAAAAGGCCGGTAACAAGCAATAACTGACGTTTGAAGAAGCTTGATGTTCGAAACAATTCGGAAGAATGGCAGCGCGAGTTTACTGTGCAGTTGTTGAGCAGTTCACCGAGCTGAACAAGTTGACTTCAGACGTTTCGTCACCAGTCGAGGCGTTATCATTACTGCAGGAGTGGCAGCGGTTTGGTAGCAGATACGGGCAGAAGTCAAATCCGGGGATTGATGTTGAATCGGTCCCCAAAACGAGGGAGACACAGGCAGATTGTCGTAGAATTTGGTAGGCAGTTAGAATGGTTCCAACAGAAAGTTAAAAAGGTAAAGCTGCCCATCGGAATCATCAACAACGCAAAAATCCCTACACACTCACTGTCGCCATCATATTCAAATGATGAATTGCGCTTCTTGGGTTGAGGTGCGGTGGAGTTAATTGCCTTGAGCAAAGTTCATAAAATAATAATTTTAATAATACTGGCAGAGGTAATTTAAGAGAAATGTGAAGAACCAAAACCGTCAGATACAACAGGTGAAACCCTACTGCCTTCATAAATGAGCCATATTCGGCAAGGCAGCCAATCATGGCTGCTCCGTACACATCGTAATTGTCGGTTAGCCCATTGTTCCGCATCGATAAAGATTACCTCTGTCTACCTCATCCTTTGCACCAGTGTAGTTGTGACCGCAATTACTGAATGTTCCAAACAGATCGACTTCACTCCACTTCAACGCTCTCCCCATTCGTTCAAGTAACCCATCCTATCATTTCGTCTGTGACATGAGAATGTTGAGCATTTTGGTTCCGTCACTTCATACTCGGTCACAACGAAGCCTAGGGTGTTGGCTCTCGCACCAAAGCGCTTCCCATTGTACTTGGTTCGATTCGCAAACGTTATTGTTGCGTAGGGTTATCCAGTTCCGGCTTTGTTGTGTATTTGATACCGATGGAAACCCGTCACTCGAACCTTCCAATTAAATTTTGTCGCTTACGGACCGAACGAACAATTCCAAGTATTCTTCGATAGTGCTTAACGCCAGTATTATGCCGGTTCAGTCATTTAACGATTTCCTGCGTTTTGAAAGCGCGAAGTCCAAGCGTGCAGCTGGGTCCAACCCAAAGGCGGCTATGTTGATCACCGCCATGGTGTTACTGGAAAACGAACCGACAGCCAGCAGCAAAAGGGTGCGAGATGGGAGCGGAAAGCAACACACCACTGACTCTCGTACAGTTCAACGAACCAGATATTTGAAAAGTAACCACATTAGATGGAAAATACGACTCAAACGCAACCTCACAGAATGCTTCTATCGCAGTATCCACCGATGATGGTGGTAATAAACCAATGAGGTTGGATGTGTGCAGTGCATTTTGGGGATGTAAGGGTGGACAGTCCCAGTGAATTAAAGTCGAAATAAGTTTTATGAATCTTAATAGGTTCGGTTGGAGCGGTTACATCACTATTGCGAACAAAATGGATGATAATATCAACATAACAAACATATTTGGGAGAAAATGGAATATATGCACAACTGTCACTACAAAACCGCTGGTGTAGCATGTGTATGACTTTCACTGGGTCAACAAGCAAACGTGATAGATAAGGCAATAGAGTATTACGACACGATGCGTGTGGGAGGATAAAATTTTGAATTTCGAACGCGTAGAAGAGAGATAAAGCGTTTTTGAAAGATTACTGTGAAGTGGATGAAGCCGGAGAGTGAGTATCTTAGAAGAAAACATTAATGCAGGTATCAATATGTGTAGAAATGACCAGATCAACTAGCCAAGCCGATGCATCTAAAGATGCGCTTTATTGATCGAACCAATAGGAAGTAGTCTTTCTGAAGCAGTCAAGGGAAGATGACAGGAGACCAGAATACAAGAAGTCAGAAACTTCAATATTAAAGTACGGGGTACTGAAAGCAGCTTAAGTCTAGAGGCATAAAAAAGAAGTTTTCTGACTTTTTGGAAGGTTTCACAGACTTGTGTGGACAAGGAAAGATTCTGGTCCAAAAAGACGCCGAGATACCTGACCGTGAATGACCTAAACATAGAACTTTCGCTCACATAAGGGTGGGGAATAGCCATAAGGAACTGCAACTTTTGGCCGGAAAGGAAAGAAAATATTACATCACTGCATTTAAAAGCGTTAAATGTGAGGGATCATGAAGATGACCACTCCAACAAATCTTACAATCCACGTTGAAGTGATGAGGAATCCTGAATAGTGGGGGCCAAACATTCCAGTACAACATAGTTTCATACCCTAAATGTGGCTTGTATAGGGAGTTGTACAACATATAAGGATCGCTTCCTGTAGATAATCACGGTCGACACAGAAGACAGATGATTTTTTGCCGTTTAATTTGGTGAAGTGAGCGCGATCCGTAAAGTAGTCACGCAGCGAAGTACATACACCAGGATGAACCCCACACTCAGATAGCAGATTCAGCAACATTAAGTTATCCAGATTTCCAAACACATGCGAATAAGTAAGGAATAGAAGCCGTACGGAATCACATTTTTGGTTTAATGCAGAAGCTATGGAATGAACTAGATATGCCACCGCATCTCATATAGGGCGCTGGAGTAATTATGCAAACTGGTAGATATCGTCTACAGGAGTAGTTGTAAACATCCGCGAAATTAGCAATTTTTCGAGAACTGTTAAAAAATACAGATGTGTACGCAGTCGGGTGACACTTGCGAAATACACTTGTGGGTACAGGGGTTACTCTGGCCGGTCTCTAAATGTCCGGGACGACACCCATAGTGAAGCATTTGTTAAAGAGATATGTTAAAGGCAGTGTGAGAGAATTAGCACACTCTTTCAAAGCAAATGATGAGAGAGCATCCGGACCACAAGCTTTGTTTGACTTTAATCTTTCCTTGTACGGTGCTTTGGTCGAAGGGAACAGCTGGACTTGTACTAATGTAGGAGGGCAAGGGGGTGAGCTTAGTGAGGCGGAACCAAATTCAGATTATCCACATCCACTTCACCGTTCTGGGTGCAAACGCTCTTACTACAGAGCTGCCTCGAAAGACTCCATAAATCATGACAATTATCGTTGCCCAGAGCCGCTTCGACGCATAAGTGGCTATGCCTTCTTATTTCAGATTTAATTGTTGAAGTTAGACTATTGACACTAGTAGAAATCTTGCACTCATAGGCCCATTCTTTCATCCTTCGAAGTCCCTTTAGCAGTAGTAATGAAGATCAATCACCCTTAGACAAATGGTTCCAACAGGGTAACGCATGTCAAAGCGATACTGTAAGTAGTCTATAAGATGATCATATTGAAGGGACAAGTACTCCCTGGTGAATATCGAGAAGCAGTTAAAAAAACATCGCCTGGAGCCCTGTGATATTTTCGAAGGATCACTTTCACCGTTTGATAATCTTGTAAGCGCGTCCAGTAAGTGGGAAAAAATTAGACCTACTGTACGTGATTGGACACAAGTTTAAAACACAATGGGCTGAGCTGCTCAAAGGAGCTCAGTTGTGTGTGGAAAATAACTACCGTTTGTTTGTGTATACAGTGTCCATTTGGGTATCTTGTCTGGTCGAGAAGGTCACCAAATCTATCAAGCCCAGTGTTCTCAAAAATGGTGTATCCTTTCTATGAAGTCCCCAACAACAATAGAATAGAACAATCTACAGCAGCAGTGAAAAAACTTGGTCCTCAAAAAGCTTCAATTGATGCAGGTGTGCCAGGCGTAATGTAAACGTTTTCAGCATTGACCGATTGAAAATCACTTAAGAACCTTGGTTTGCATTCAACGAAATGGCAGATTATAAAATTCGTTGAGTATGTGGATATGACGGTTGCTGAATTGCCTCAACGTTGATTAACACAAGTTACGACACCACCATCACGAAACTGGGGCTTTCCAGGGCAGTCAGATCTGATAAGAAAATAACCATTAAGTTGAAGGATCCCATGTTCCCATTAGTGTG